ATCGATATATTTTTGTCAAATTTTTATGAAATCTTCAAACATATATTTTATTCAAAAATAAAAACATTATCACTTTCTCAAAATCACATAAAGCCATATTATAATATCGACTGAGATAAAGAAGAAAATGAAATATTAAAATCATGATGTATCTCGCTGCATTGCGCGAGTACGCTTCTAGTATTTAATAATATATGTCCTTTACGGTTTCCAATAAATTTCTACACTACACCCGAGTCTCCTTTATTTTGTGCCTATTTTCATATTAAAATTAGATGAAACAATATTAGGGTTTAAAGGAAGAAAAAAAAATGAATGAATGATCTCTTCAAAGAAGAAAATAACTTGTGGTCTGCGAGGGATTTTATAAACTGAAGGGAAACACTATATAATTTGTTTATATGACTTTAAATATATTCATTTTATTTTGTAACATATTTTACATATGACTTTGTCTTTATGCATAAAAATGTATAAGATTTATATACATGTTCAAAACCTTGTAGGATTCAATTATTCATAAGCTTTTGCATAGAAACAGTGTTTTGGTGAATCTTGTTTCCACTTGCAATTAGTGATTGTATTATATAAATGTTGAAATAACATACTTCATTTAGGAGGAAAACCAAAATGTAATATAAGTTATATATTTAAATTAAGTTATAACATTATCACTTAAAACAACTTATATGTTTACCATGTTATGCAAAGAATGCAATATAATGTTCATGTATGGCATTTAGACTTTTAACTATTAAGTTATAATATTATCACCTGAAACTAACATTTGAGAACTGGTTTTAAGGAACTCTGCACATTGACACTCAAGAATTACTATTTACAATGTAAATCGAAAATCTGAAGTATGTTTAGTACTATTTTGAAGCCATATTGCATAGTTTAAACGTTAATGGAAATTGTATGTGTGTCAAAACACGTATGAAAGTTATTGTATAAGTCTGTAACCAAACAAGTCAGAGTTAGCTTCCAACTCCTACATTTAATTGTGAAATAAATATGTGTTTAGAAGTTTTTGTGATCACCGAAATACATTACGGCATAGCACGTGTAGAACCTATTTGAAGGTCTGTTTGAATAATGGAGTCACGCTTGAAAGACAAAAGTGTTAAAAAACTTTTGTCACTTTAAGCCCAAAACAATACAGACTTATAATGTTGAAGTACACTTGAGATTCAGAAGCAAAGACTGAAAGTAGGACATGTAGAGACAGAGCTATTTTTCGAAACTTAAGTGCAGAGCCTCTGTATAGCTCTGTATGAAGCACAGAGGTAGTGTTACAGTGACGTAGCACTTGCAGGACCTTTGTCATGGTCTGTACCAAGAAGGGGAATTTCAACGTAGAACATGAACAGACGGAGCTCTTTCTTAACACTTAAGTGCAGAGCCTCTGTATAGTACTGTATGAAGCACGAAGGCAGTGTTAGAGTGACGGCATAGTATGTGCTTAACTTATGTGAAGGTCTTCATGAATTAGGGAAACATGAACGTAGCACCTGAAGCGACAGACCTCTTTCTCAGCATTTAAATGTAGAGCTTCTGTATGCCTCCGTATGAAGTACGGTGACATATTGATGGCGTAGCACATGCAGGCCCTCTCTCATGGTCTATATGAAGAACGAAATCAGGGTTGACAGTCTCAAAGGTAAACAAACTTCCTAGAGTGTCGACCAAGTATGGTGTAGAGTTGCAAGTGTGACGTACACTTCTAAAGTACGACTTGACTGTTGAAGATAGTGCATGAAGACAAAGAGCTCTTTCTCAACACTTAAGTGCAGAGCATCTGTGTAGCTCTGTATGAAGCACTGAAGCAGGGTTAGAGTGACCGCGTATCACGTGCAGGACCTTTGTGAAGTTCTGTATGAAGAAGTGAAGCCTCAATGTAGAACATGAATAGACAAAGCTCTTTCTCAGCACTTAAGTATATGAACCACGGAGCCTTGTTCAGTCTGACCGCGTACCAGTTGCAGAGCCTCTGTGAAGGTCTGTATGAAGAACCGAGTGAGGCTTGGGTCACACAAGGGGCAAGAAAATTTCAGAGTTTAGATTCGAACAGTGCAGAGTTGCACTTCGGAAGTCTCATTTAGAGTAAGCGGCAGGGCCTGAACGTAGTGCATGAAGAGAGTGAGCTCTTTCTCAACACTTACGTGCAGAGCCTTTGTGTAACTATGTCTAAATCAGGGAAGCAGGGTTAGACTGACGACCTACTACAAGCAAAACCTCTATTAAAGTCTGTATAAAGAAAGAAGTCAGGATTGACAGACACAACGGTGAATAAATTTTCTAAATGAAGACTCAGATAGTCCATAGTTACAAGTTTGAAGTCCACTTTAGAGTAATAGATCGAGGCTCAACGCAGTGTATGAAGAGACAGATCTGTTTTTAAACACTTAAATGCAAAGCCTCTGTAAAGCTCTGTATGCAGTACGGAGCCATGGTTAGATTGACAACGTACCACGTGTAGAACCTCTGGTGTTGTCTGTATGAAAAAGGGCAAGCAAAAGCGTAGTATATGAATAGATAGATGTCTTTCTTAACACTTATGTGCAGAGCCTCTGTGTTACCCATGCAAATAAGTTTAACATTAAATCCAAAACAAAAAGCTTATTTGAAGTTACATTCACCAATTAACAGATCATTGTAGAAAATAAAATTCAATCACCAAAACAATAACGAATACGAGAGACAATGTACTTGTACACCATAACCATGAATATTGCTTTTGAAGTGGAGGAATTGTTAACATTCTTGTAGCCACTATTTTTTGTTAAATTAGGAAAAAGGAAGAAAAACATAAGAAGTTCTCGATACTCCAACAGAAGTTAAAAATAAAGAAAACTCATATTTTAATTAAAAACATAATTCTAATTGAAGGCATAGGTTAAAAATGATCTCTGTTTTACATTAACTATTCAGAAAGTACAATAAAAGTGAAATGAAAGTACATTGATTGAAAGGTAAAAAAATGCTAAGACAAGAAGCTCTAGATGTTTTCAAGCCTCAAGAACCTCCTAAGAAGTTCTCAAACTCCAACAAATTACGGATTGATCTTAGAACAATTCTGCCTTCTTCTCTTGCTCCAGGAGTGGTATATCTGCTTCATGTAAGATTGTCTTTACGATAATTCACATAGAAAATGGCCTTTGTACATGA